TGCTGTTCAAGCAAGTAAAACCATGAGGAAGCTGAGAAAACTCAGGTAAAATGGCTTTTCTGCCCAGGAGTCTACAGAGAGGAGATGTATTCTCATCACCCCATATTCGGCCCTGCCTTTCAAACCTGCAACAAGAGAGGGCCTGTTTCCCAAACAGAACATTTCCCATATTTGGATGATCACATAAAGGTGAAGGTGCTTTGTAAACCATGAAAGCAGGTTAACGGTATCAGATATTCACATTGGTTTTCCTTTATATCAGGGCCGATGTCATTGCGCTCACAGATTTTAAGTTTTGCTTTTACACACAAGGGAGAACCTCCTCTGAGCTCCGCTGTCTGTCACAGGAGGCCTGAAAATTTCAGGTCACTTGTATCACTCCCTGTGGCCCCTAAAGGATCAGGCGTCAGGCTAAGGGGTAGGTTTCTCACCACGCTTAGACTTGAAGGGAAGAAGCCATTCCAGAGCCCACCCTCCACTCCCCTCCCCCAGACACTGCAACCAACAAGCACTAATAGTAACTGCAAGAAACTGTAATATGTCTTGTCCTTAACCTCCCTGTAACAGCCACAACTGTTTGCTGGGTAGGAAATGGTCATTTTCATTCAGACCATGGTACCACTGAGGCGCATACCGCCCCACGCCCTTCCCATCTGTGATTCTTCTCTGCTGCCCTGACCTTCTTATGTTTTGTCCCCACCAACCACGTCAACCATCTTACTAACCAGACTATAAATTATAAATGGCCTAGGACAAGCAAACACACAGGGCAAGTGCTACATTCCAGTGGAATTTCAGTTGCAGACAAGTGCATTCGCCGCCACCGGTGCAGACAGTATTGGGGCAATGTCAAGTCGTGTATGTTCTCAGCTCATTTGCCGCCAGCCCACACCTGTGCAGTCAGCTGGATAGCATGCAACCTTTGTAAAATAGACATTTCAGTGCAATAACTAGCATAAATTTTCTTTCTGTGTTGCACACAGTGTTGAAATATGCCAAGTGCTGCTTGCCCGTGCTTTTTATTTTATTTGAAATGACCAATGTGTGTCTGAAGAAAAAATTTTGCACACACTTTCCAGTAACATTACTATAAATAGCATGTGTACATTGAAAGGAAATTGTATTCCTTAAATCACAGGCACTGATAGACTATTATGAAACACATTTGCAGGATCACTGTAATGACATTTATGCATGAATAACTTCAGAATATGTCAGTGGGAAAGTCTACAGTAAATAAGCGTCTGCCCCAAAGTTTAAGGACTCAGCGTTCTTCATTTGAGGGAGCTAGGTTTAAGAACGCGTTGAAATATACATGTAACTACTCTTTGTTTTTCAGCATGCACATCTCTGAAAGCCAACAGGAATTCTTCAGAATGCTGGATGAAAAAATTGAAAAGGTAGGAAGGGGGATAAATTAACTACATGTTTCAAGGGAAATACACAAAGTGCTTCTTGTGTTAGGGTAACCGGATTCTTACTTCTATGTCTATTCTTATTTCTATTTTTGTAAGGAGTCCCATAGAGAGTTAAAACAAAAGCCACCCTCATCCACCACCTGCCCCCCCAAAAAAGCGTGCAATGTTCAATGTATAATAGAGCCTCCCAGGATCCTGCCCCCTCACTCATTAAAGTGTGTAAAGTCAGATAGAGACTAATAGGCAGCCTGTGCCTAGACACAGCGTTCTTGTCACTGTGGATCATTTTGCACCTGATGCAGTGCTGTCACCAGACTGCAAGGAGGCCCTTAATACTGCCGAAGTCTGAGTGCCTGCTGTATGACTGACACTGCTCTGAGTTCTTTACGATCATCTTATACCTATTTCAAGTAGTACCTACCTCAGGGTAATGGCTGTGAGACAGATATTATCTCCATTTTACAGACAGGGAAACTGAGGCTCAGAATGGTTAGGTAACTTACCCAGATTTGCAAGACTAAAAGTGGTCAAGTTGGAATTCCAGCCCAGGTCTGTCAAACTCCAAGGCAGTCTCCAGGTTGCTTCTCTGGTAGTATGTGGATTTACGTTGACAGCTGATCTGTGTGGAAGTTGAACTCACGGTTTTGATCTCAGAATGCCATGTGCAAATCTACTGAATGAAGTATGGAATATGATAATTAAGGGCTTATATACTTGCAGAATTTAAATTCATTACTGCAAAGGAATGACTTTTAAATGTTAAAGTTACAAATATGAGTATTTATATATTATAAATTACAATTTATTCTAAAAAAGAGTGAAA